ACAGCCCATTCCCAAATCCATGCCTGCCTAGGCTGGATCAAGACATGCTGGCTTCCCCTTCCTTCTCACTGGTCCCTCCTAAGGGCCAGCAAGGAGAGCCTGGTCGGGGTGTGCATCGCTGAATGTCTACAGCATGGCCTGGAGGGAGGGGCAGGAGCTTCCACAGCCTGGGGACAGTACGCTGGTCTCGGGGTCTCTGGGTCACATGCTCGCCTTCCACCAGTATATCAGGGATCTGGGCCAGCTTGTTTGTCCCTGCTTTGACAGAGGAGAAATCCTGATGTCCTGATGCTGCGGGAAAAGGCGCAGGCCACCTCCAGACCCTGGCCAGTGTCCTTCCTTCAACGTGGATTGAGGCTCACCTCTGGGGAGAAATACTGAGCTGGAATCCAGCTGACACAATCCACTAATGTAAAATATGTTAAAAGACATACATTTTCTTTGGTTTGATTGCTTTTACATTGGTGCATTTAGTGAATCGGCTCTTAAGCAAATCAACCCCCTGGGAAACTTGTTTCTGGGGCACTGGCCTTGCGTCTGCATGCCGTGTTCACATGACGCAGAGTCGGGCTAGTGAAGCTCTTTCCAAGCAGCGACCGGGTGCGTTTCCTGGTTTTACGATTCCCCCACCCCTGCTAATTCTCTCCTCTCTCCCATCAGTGACCTTGGGTTTCCCCTGCTGGGCTGCCTACGAGCACCCCTCTCACAGGGTGTGAGATACACTGGAAACTGCTGGGCGGTTCCCAAATTGCTGCATTTGTTACCGCCACACACTAAGTGGTCCCTTGAGCACCAGTTTCTTCATCCAGCCTGTTGCTGATTCAGATATTTAAGACTCAGCGGTCGGGAGCAGACATGAGGTCCCGGAGGATGTCACCCAGAGAGACGTTGCAGAGAACAGGGCCCTGAGGCGGGGGCACGCAGATGATGGTTCATGCTGACACTGGTGAGCCACACAGATGAACGATGATGAGAGATGGGGAAGAAGGAGGTTCGTTATTGTAAAAGTTATCATCCGTGTCATCATGGATTTCTGGTAATTTCGCCAGCTCCTTGCAGAACCAATTTTGGTGCCAAGAACCAGAGCCTTTATTCCACGCCTGTTTCCTCTGTGGCCTTGCTGAGCGTCAACATCGCGCGGGTTGAGCAGAACACTCAGCGAGTGTGTTCTAACCCTGCAGTGCTCACGGCACCTGCACGGGACATGTGCCCACCTGCCAGAGCCCTGCCACTCCCCGGGGCTCAGGCGGCACCTGTGAGAAGGTGTCTCCCAGGTAGGGGCAGCTCTACTTTTAGTGGCATGTTTAACCAATAAGGCAGTCAACAAAAGACAAGCGCAAATGAAACGAGAAACTCAAAAACGTCTTGACGACCTCTGCCCCCACACTGTTTACATCGGGGTCCCCAATCCCCCAGCTGCAGCCCAGCATGGGTCCCTGGCCTGTGAGGAGCCCGACCATGTGGCAGGAGGTGAGCCACGGGTAAGACAGCATTCCCGCCTGAGCGCCGCCTCCCACCAGGTAAACGGCAGCATTAGATTCTCATAGAACGCCTATAGTTTCTATTGTGAACTGTGCCTGCCAGGGATCTAATCTGTGTGCTCCTTATGAGAATGAGGTGGAACAGTTTCATCCCAAAACCATCCCCACCACTGCCCCCTCCACCCATCTGTGGAAAAATTGTCTTCTATGAAACTGGTCCCTGGTGACAAAAAGGTTGGGTACCACTGGTCTACATGATTTTTTGCCTTTCAAATGTTATCACCCGCTGAAATGTATTCTCATAGTAAGAACCATCATAGCAATGCCATTTGGGCTTCAGTATTCCTGACCTAACACCACCTTGAGACAGGCTTTCCACAGCACTGCCTCTCTGCACACTGACATTTTCAACATGGTACTCTACGTTCATGTGGCCCCTTCCCGTAGGAAGGCATTTGGGCATCTAATAAGCCCAGCCCCCGATCACATAGTAGGCCACGAAGACATAGCAGAGTGGACCAATTACACGCCCCCACCACCGGCTCATTCTGAGCAAATGGCCTCAGGCACACAATGAGCCATGTGACCCTGGCTGTCACCAACTGGCCATCAGCGACCCACCAGGTGGGGTCATCAGAACCCATGTTCTTACAAAAGACGTCCTTTCCTAAGAGTCCTGAGAGGTGATCGAGGCGTGTCCCTTCTTTGCAATGTGAAATTATGAGAAGAACATGAGATAAGGAAAGACGGGTGTCAGAAGCGGGTGAATCACAGACAGGAAACACAGGGGAGTTTCTGCTAAACCCGCTTCAGAGGATCCTGGACTGGAGCGGGGCTGAGCACTCAACAGTCCCTGAAAGACAGTGCCTGCCTGGGACCCTCAGGCTCCACTGGCTCCCTCCCTTTGCTTCTTGGAAAACATGGCTCCCCCTTCCTTCTCATTTCTCTGCATCATCTATACATAGGCCATGAGAAGTTACAAGCTGCTGTTTAAAATAAGGGCTGACGATAGCCAAGGCTGCCCTGGAGATGAGGCAGGATCCACCTGGGAAGGACCCACTCAGGAAGAAGGGTCTATTAATGAGAACAGGGTTCTGCCCTTGGCATAGCCTGAATGCCAAGGCTGAGGCAGGGATTGCTGCTCTGGTTTAACAGAGAGAGAACATTTGCGTTTACATAGAGAGAATGGGAAAGAGAGGGTGAGGGAATTCAGAACATGGAAATGGGGGATCTGAGACTGCAGATAGGAGGGTGGGGACAGGGCCCATGAGACTGCATTTTCCTGCCAGTGGAGGGGACAGGGTAGCAGCCCTGGGGTCAGCTGTGTGCCAGTCAGCAGCCCCTGCTCAGGCTTTGAGAAGTTGGTTGCAGCCAACTGTGGGCACCAGTCTGGTACTGGCTCTACCAGGGCCAGCAGGATGCGCCCTCCCCAAAGGCCAGTGGTGAAACCTGGGCTATAATGGAATCCAGGGGTGATTGGTGGTCCAGTGCTGAGGGAGAGTGGGGGATCACACGGTGGGGCGGCTCTGACCCAGCCTCTCTCCACCAACACGGGTACCCCTGCTCCATGTGGGGCCGAATTGCTCTTGCTTCACCTAGTGCTTTGCCATGGACCCTGTTCAGTGTAGGGACCCAAAGCCCCCCACTTCTGCAGCTCCTTCTGTCTCCTTTCTTAGTGCTTTGTCTCCTCAATATGCTGGAGCTGAAGTCCCCCGGGGCTGGTCTCTATCCAAATTCTCTTCCAGTGTGGTCTCCTGCAGCCCTGAAGCTTTAAATGCTGGGGTCAGCTGAACCATACTGCCACTCCAAGACATTCATGTCCTAGTCCTAGTAACCTGTGAAAATGTCACCTCACGTAGCAAAAGGGACTTTGCCGATAGAATGATATTAAGGATCCTGAGAAGAGGAGAGGGTCCTGGATGATGTGGGAAGTCCCTAAATGTAACCACATTTCTCCTCATAGGGAAAGAGGAAGGCAGGAGAGTCAGACACAGGGACATGACCATGGAGGCGTAGGCGAGAGAGGGTGAGGGTGAGGGTGAGAGGCAGACAGAGGGAGAGGGAGACATTGTTAGACGCTGTGCTGATGGCCTTGGACGTGGAGGGTGGAGGAGGGGCCAGGAGCCAAGGAATCCAGGAAGCCTCTGGAGCCTGGAAAAGGCCAAGAGATGGGTCCTCCCTCGAGCCTCCAGCTGGAATGTTGCTCTGATGACACCTTGACTTTAGGACCTCTGACCTGCAGAATCTGTGCTAAAGCTGTAGGGTACAAGTCCCGTATACAGCAGCCCTAGAAACGAATACAAATACCATTGATCTGGTTTCACCATATGCAGCTTCACTGTTATGAAGCAACTCCTCTGAGCTCTGGGCTAGTGTGTGTCCAATGCCTGTTGGACACAGCTGCGTGATGTCACTTCAACATGCCTGAAACATTTCCTCCAAACTTCTCCATCTGTGCCCTCTCCAGCAGAGCTGACCTCATCTCTGTCCTTCAAGTTGCTCAGGCCTTAAAGTTGCCCTTGATCCATCCCACCCTGGATACCTCACATCTGATCTCTCAACAAGCTTGCTGGCCCTGCCTGTAAAGTACATCTGGCCACGTCACAGAGCCCACCACCATGAAACACAAACCAGGACTTGCTGTTGCTCTGCTCAAAGGCCTGTGATGACTCAGAGAAAGGCTGAGGCCCTGTAAAGCTCTATAGGACCCCCGTGACCTGCACCAAATCCCATGTCCCCCATCTGTTACATCTCCAACCGACTCTCTTCCTGGCCCCCTCATTCACTCCACTCCAGCCTCGCCAGCCTATGCTCTCCCTGAGGCATGCCAGGCTCTCTCCTGCTGTTTTCAGAGGGGTCCTCTGCCCTCTGCCCTCCATCCTCCACCCGGAGCATCCTCTCAGCTTTTGCTTGGCTACTTTCCTCATATGCCTCCTTCTCACAGGCTGACCCAATCCACTAAAGACACGAAGAAAGGATAAGGGGGCCCAGATGATAGATGGGGGAGGAAGGTGTGCAGTGGAGGGAGGCGTGAACTGGGTTTTAGCCCAGTCACTGGGCAGAGTGGTACAAAACGGTGCTGGGGTCAGCCATGGTGAGGATGGGATGCTGCCTGGCACTGATGAAAGGAAAGTTGGAAGGGTGGTCTCTGTCCTAAAGTCTTGATTCCAACATCTGGGTGTTTCAGAACTGAGTGGAGACTTTCCCCATGTATCACCTTTTGCTATGTTCTTCAAAGATGTGGCTAAGCATGACCTAGCTTAGGAGACATCACCACGGAAACTGGGTCAAGTTGAAATAAAACTATTCAGAGAAAAACTGAATGTCCATTTGGCAAGTCAGATCCCCTCATTGAGAAAACCAAGGCCAGAAAGAAGAACCCTGTCCCAGACCCGGCTTTCTGTCCACCAGTCTTCACCCTGCACGTGGCTGTCTACCCACCCAGAGAGCACCCAGATGATGGCCCTGGGGGGGGCATCAGGGAACCTGGGCTCTGTGGGCTTAGCATGGCACACTCACTCTAGTCTTTCCTCTTCTTTCCTTCGTAGGTCAAAGTCTCGTTGAACAACTTCCAAGACATGCTGGGCCTCTTCATCAGTGAGCTTGGAAAGATCCAGTTTCTTCCCCATTTCTGCTTCTTGTCGGGGTCACACCTGGAATGTCACAGGATCACAAGTGGTCAGTCCTGGAAGCCTACCGCCGCCAACCAAGTCACAAAGTAAGAGACACCACAGAATGCCACCGATTTCTCAGGACATCTGTCTCTACTTGGGTTAAGTGGATTTCTAAACAGGCAAATGCTTGTCTGGAAACTTGTGTAGTGTAATGAATTTAAGTGAATCTATGTAAAATTCCCACATTCGAATTTTAAAAGGGATCTACTTCCCACTCTCCTGAACGAACTCAGCACGGGTCCCTCATTCTCTTTCCATTGTGGGATAAATATCAGTGATCTCCTCATCTAGGGGCAGGGATTCTCTCCCCAACCTAGGGTTGAGCTTTGCAATGGGAAACCCCAGGAGAGAAATGCTCCATCCCTGAGGCTTCTCACTTTAAGTTTCTTGGGAGAGGGAATAGCACAGAAAAGCGGAAATGTCACAGCAAAGTCATAGTCAGCTCAGAATCTTCTGTGAATCTCCCAGATCTCCTAGAACGATGGTGCAGGCTCCATGTGGAGAGGGATGTCTGGATGACTGACCCACTAGGTGGAAAAGCTGGGAGACTACACAGCACCTGGAAGATTTTACCAACCTCTGGGTGTGCGGAGCTGTTTAGGTTTGCCACGCTGGGGGAGGTGTGGCTCCAGTGGGAGGTCATATGAGCCTGATGCCTGTGAGGGGGATGTGCTTGTGCTGGAAATATCCACATAATTTCCATGGGGAGGCAAAAGTGGTGCAACTTGGGAGAACAAGACGTCTGGGCAGGATGAACAGCAGGTGCTGAGCTTTATTTACTCGAGAGAGGTCAGCTATGGGGCTACCCAGCAGGGATTCTCAAGCCTGGTGTGTATTAGAATCATCTAACACTACTGGTGGCCAGGCTTCACCCTCAGCAAATCTAGTTGAATTTTTTTTTTTTTTTTACTTAAAAAAAATTTTTTAGAGACGAGGTCTTATTGTGTGTCCCAGGCTGGTCTTGAACCCCTGGGCTCAAGCAATCCTTCTGTCTCAGCCTCCCAAAAAGCTGGGATTCCAGGTGGGAGCCACAGTGCCTGGCCAAGAGTCTGGTGTGACTCAGCTGCTCAGCAGAGCAGCAGCCCCACCCAACGCACTGTGCCATGCTGTGTTTGCAGGTAACCTGATGACCAAGAAGTCAAACTTCAGATGATCTTATGCCCTTTTTGAAGTTCATCAGACCTGATCCCAATCAATGTCCAAAGGACAGAGGAAGAAAAATCCTCTGTCAAAAGCCAAGATAAGTGGAACCTTAGAATCTTGCTTGCTACTCAAAATGTGGCTTGTGGACCAGAAGCATCCCCTGGGAATTTGTTAAAAGGGCAGACTCTCAGGCCCCACTCCAGAGCTACTCATTCAGAATTTGCCTTTTAACAAGATCCCCAGGCAGCTCAGGTGCATGTTAGAGTTGGCCCATGCTGCTCTCCAGACCCCTCTGAGTAGCAAAGCTCTAGGGGAGACTCATTCACTCGGGTGGTGGGTGAGTAAAAGAAGACCTTGGCCTTTACATCCTGTTGGGTGGGTAATGGGTGTGAGGCAGGGTAGTGATGCAGTGGTGGTGGCTGAGTAGAGAATGACAGATCCTCTTGCTGGTTTTTCATATGGCAATAACATACAGACCTCACAGCTCATGCTGATGGACATTACTGCTGGGTATGAAATTGGAGCACAATTGTACCAGGGAGAACCTCACCACCAATGCATGCACACTGGACACTGCAAAACTGTGCACACTCCCTACAGAGGATTTCCCTGACCATCCTCTGGTTTCTACTCCTTCACCTGTCCCCATCTCTTTAATGTTTCTTTATACCCCGTAACAGTTGGTGATGTCCCATTAGTTATTGTTAAGCTCCACCAGAATAGTACCTCTGTCTGTTCCCAGCACACGGCAGGTGCTTTTTGGTGCTTGCAGCTCCCTGGTATGCAGCAGGCTTTGACAGGGAAGCCCTCAGCCCTTGGACGCTGCAGCTACAGACAGACCAGCTTTGCTCTGGTCACTGAGGCTTTGGGGAACATTTTGTTTGTGTGACTAGGAGTTCTGTTGTGAGTAACTGAAAGTTTAAAAATTACCATGTAATTTCAACAAGTTTTGAGGACTTGAACCTATTTTCTCAAGAACATCAGAGAAGGGGTCCAACCTGTGTGCCATCAGGGGGAAGTCTTAAAACCATCAAAAAGACTCAATTTTGCTTCTGAATTCTGAAAAGCATCTCTTATCAGTGCTGCTGACCATATGTTTATCATAAAAATACTAACAAAACTCCCCTTGTGCTGGAGATGTACTTCGATTTTGTTGCACAAGAGATTAATTATGAAAAGTGACATTTTCTGGGCAGATACCATTTAAAATGAAAATGTCTACAGGGCTCTCATGGAAGTCAGCCAAAGTAGTCCCTGGCTTATGCCATAGAAATGGAGAAGGATAATTTGTTGAATTTTTTGCACCCATTCCTCAGCATTTCCACCCTTAAACATAAAGATGAGTGTTTGCGACAGGAACAGATTGCCCCAGTGCCCTGGGCCAAACAAACCCTGCTCTTTTACAGTTGGATTTAGGTCTGGTCAGGAAACCCTTACTACAGAATTAATTTTTGATGCTCCCATAGAGCACACACTTTCTGGTTTCTAAAGAATTGGAACATAAAGTTATTATGTGATGTATGACTCTGCATGACTGAAGTTCATTCATTTTTATTTTTCAGGAGTTCTGAAAAACTGGGATCCTAAGAGCATTCATTGATGTTCTATTTTCAGAACGGATGGACAGTGTGACCATCAGCTGAAGCAGTATCATTCCCTCTCTCCTCCTCAAGTAGAAGCCAAAATTCTAGTCTTCAGTTTGATAAACTTAAATCATGATGTACGAGGAAGAAAAGCAAAACAAAAGGAAAAATCTGCTTTTGTCAATCTTGCAAGCTTTACCTTTTTAGACCATAGTCTGTGACCAGTAAATGGATGGATAAAAAGGTCACAGCACATCAGAACCGATGTCCTAGAGGCTGCCTGGATATCTGCTCCTCCTCCATTTTGCCCCCTTTCAAATCTTGGTTTTGTTTCTTTTTTTCTTTTTCTTTCATTTTTTTTTTGAGATAAGGTCCCACTCTGTCACTCAAGCTGGAGTGCAGTAGTGCAATCACGGCTCACTGCAGCCTCGACTTCCACGGGCTCAGGGAGGTGGGGGCAGAGAATGTGCTAGACCCATGAGGGGTGCAGGGCTGCTCTGCACCTGCCCTGGCTGGGTGGGGTGGGGGGGCTCCCAGAGTGCATGTGCTGGGGGAGGGCAGATGCCACCCTGCTCTATCTGCCTCTTGTTCCACTTCTGTGTAGATAACACCTACTCACGAGGTTCCTGAACAAAACACTTCCACTTAGCATCTGTTCCACTGCTCAGATTCAATCATATTTTAAACATTAGAGACAGTCCACCTTCCCCAATGGTTTAATAGCCATAGTGGGGCAGTGGGAGGGGACAAAGGGGTTAACAGACAGGGAGGGGAGAGAGGAGCTGACTTTGTAAGACGGGCATCCCTGGCCCAGACTGCTGAATTCCAGTGGTGTATCATCTTTATCCATTAAAGAGTTGAATTCATGTTTTGGCCAAATTGAAGGGAAATCAGGGTGGGGTGGCGTTCCTCCTGGATGAAGACTTGGCTTAACTAGCTCCTGGGCTGGCTGCTTCGGGAGCCTTGGAACAATGGTGATTGTGGGTGGTCACTCGCCTGGGTAAACAGAAACTGGCAAGCTAACAACAGCAGGAATGCTCTCTGACTCAGAGCCGAGGTGTGTCGTATGGTGCTATTCTTGCTGATAAGAGGGGTGGTGGCAGAGATGACAACTGCGGTCCTTCTGCCTTAATCCTTAGTGGCTGTTTCCCAAATGCTGCCGTCGAGGTTGGCCTGTGTGGTTATTTCCGTAGGCAGGACCTGATACCTGTCAGTAGGCACTGACCCCTAGCCCTTATCAGTGGCTAAATGGGCATATTTCCAGCCAGAAGGGCCACTCCCTTCCCTACAGGTAAACCAGGCACATCTGTGCTGTAGCCACAAGGCTCGGGAGTGGCTCCAGCAGCAACAGCACTGGGAGAGAGTTCTGTCCCTTGACCACCTGCTCACCGATCTGCCATCCCTCTGTTCTCCCAGCTGTCTGGGGAGTTGTTGGTAAACCTCATTTATAAATGGACGTGAGTTTTGCATTTGCACCTAAAGCCTCAGTGCTAGTCTCTACAGCAAGGATGGGTCCCAGGTGAGGCTGAGAAGGAGGATGGGGCTGAGAGGTGAGAGCTGGGTTCCAGTCCAGTCCAGGCACAGCTGCCCAGCCTCCTGGGACAGCTGCCCCTCCTCTCAGCCTCTTAGTCTCCCCATCTGTTCCATGAACAATGGCTGAGCTCCAGGACCTCTCTGGCCCTCTCCAGCCCTGGATGATGCCAGGATGTTGAAATTAAGAGGAGTGATGGCATGGGGGCAGTGGGGAGGAGGAGTGGGGAAGGCTGTTCCTCCAGAGGTTGCTTCTGAAAAGAACAAGACAGTTGGCCCTAGAAGGCTGCCCCAGCCACTGAGACTGGGTTTCACTTGAGCCATTGAAAGGCACCAAATTCACTTTTCCCATTAGCCCACAGGGTTCCCATTAGCCCACCCCCATCCCCCACTGGGCACACATTCAGCTGGTTTTAATTTTTCCGAGTCACTCATGCCATACTCAGCAAGACCCACTGCCTCCCCGTGTCTGAGCTTGGCACCATCCCATGTTCTCTAAATGTGTCTTCAATCAGTCCCAGTCCTGTGAGGCACCTGCTGCTGTTCTCTGAGTCTGAGTGAGGGCCGGGGGCACAGTGACTGCTGCTTAGATACTAAGCACCTGGGCAGGGAGGGGGCTGGGCCCAGGAACGCTGAGGCCTTCGTGAGGTCAGCTGAGTCCCGCCAATGAGCAGGTGGAGGGATGGGTTTCTTAGCACAGATGCAGGCCAGCTGAACCCGAGGTGCCAATGTCACTGCTCAGCAGCGTGGTCTGCACGTCCAGGAGCCTTTCCTGAGACTTCACAGCCACCAGCAATGCTGTCCTGTGCACCTATTGGGGGCCTTGCTCTCCTCTCAACTGTCATCACTCCCTCAGAAGGAAATATGTGAACAAGATACCAATCACACCATCTACTAAAAAAGGACCTGTAAAGGCCCCAACCCAAGTGAGGTGGAGTTTTCAGTGCCAGTTAGTGTCAGTAGGACGCAGTGTCTAAGCCCGTGGAATCTTTGGGGATTTAGAAGTGAGATTCTGTTCCTGTGGGGACTTCGGGCCAGTGGGGATGAAGCCCACAGGTGCGCACAGCTCAGAGACCCTTCCCACATCTGCCTGGTGGGCCCACGGAGACTGTCCGCAAACAAAAGCTGATTCCAATGAAACAGGCTTTTAGACGCCCAGAGGAAGCCGGGTGCCTCCTCCCATGCCAAGATCATCTGGCCTTTTCCTCACCCCAAGACCAGCTCCTGGGCGGGGAGGACGCCTTTCCCCTGGGGCCAGCCCGAGTATCCATGGCGTCAGCTGCCTTGGCCCAGCCTGCATGGCAGACCCGCAGTGAAGGCTGGGGAGCTTCTGATTAAACCAACCGTTTTGCCCAAGATGGGGTTTCCCCGCCACCCCATTCCCACCCGTCCCCGCAGCCAGACCAGTCTGCTCAAAGAATCCAGGTGAAGCCTGGGGACTAAGGCTGGGTGGCTGGGAACGCGCTCTCCTCACCAGCCTGCACCAGGGCCTGGAGGTTGGCGGCTGGGGGGCGTTTTCATACCAGTGGCGCTACAAGGGACACCACGCACCCCCCAAAGCCTAAGCCCCCAGTCCTGGGCGCCACCCTGGCCCCGCTGTTCCCCCTTCCAGGTGCACTCACCGGACCCTCTCCGGGGGACGCTCAATCCCTGGTCCAGCACCTGGGAGAGAAAGGAGGGCGACGAAGCAGGGCGGCGTCAGGTCGGGGCGCCGGGGCAAGGTTGGATGATGGCGCCAAGCAGCGCGCGGCGAGCAGGGCAGCTGGCTCGCGCCAGGCTCTCCCGGGCAGGCAGGCAGGCAGCTGGCCAGGTCCCGGAGCCTCCCGCCCCAACCACATGGGCTGCGCCCCGCCCAGCTCCGGGAGCTCAGACCCGTCCGACGCCCGGCAGGGCGGAGGGCGGGGCGGACACCTGGGGCGCCGGCGCTTGGAGGCGCCCCTGCCAGGGACAGCCCTGGATACTCGTCCCCAAGCCAGTCTGGGGAGAAAGACGGCGGCGGGGAGGGGAAGGTTGACCACACAGCTGCGATTCGTTTGAGTTGCGGCGACTTTGCGGGTGACTCCGCGCCGCGGTACTGCCCTGGGCCGGGTAGGATCCGCTTGCTGAGCCAGCAGCACGGCGTCGAAATTTCTAATTCCGCAGGGAGAGCGCTATTTACTTCGGCTTTGTAGATGGGGAAACTGAGGCTCAGAAACGCGCCCTACCAAAGCCACCGACCAGTAAGTGGCAACGCCAACTAGTAAGTGGGACTCTAAGCCCAGGGCTTTCTGCTGCAGACGGCGTGCCCCTCACCGCTTGGATTCTGCCAGGAGGGCCCCGCAGCCGTGGGCAGCCCCGCGCGGGGAGCAGACCGAGGCCCTGCCTGTCAAGAAAAGCCAAGCTCCGCGGGCAGATGGGGCAGGCGTGGAAACCAGGACGCGCGGCGCGGCGGTTCCAGGACCTAGGACGCGCTGCGGGGAACGCCTGGGAGCTCCGCGCCGCCGCGCTCTCCTCCTGGACTCCAGGGCCAGCCTCTGGGTGCTCAGGGGCGCCGCAAACTCAGCGAGTCCCAAGGCGAGGGTGTCTCCAGTCCGCCCGGCCAGCTTGTCCTTCTGAATTCCCACGGACATTAGAGAATTGCCCTCCTTCATCCTCCAGGACCGTGCGCTTCCCAACATTCTCTCCCTTCCCTTCCCTCTCACATGTCATTTAAAAACCTACATTCTCTGCTAGGAACTGCTTTTGGAATTCAGTTTTTGTATCTGCAAAAGCAGGATAGGAAAAGAAATAAAGCTATTAGGTGAACAAATATTGCTATCACCATTTAACGGAAGAGGAGACTAAACCTTAGAGGACTGTTGTGATGTTACATTAGATTATTTGTAAGCAGCTTTCAAAAGGCTGCAAAAGAACAGAAAAGAATGTCGTTGCCTGCTGAGGCCAGGGGAACACTGGAGGTGAATCGGGGTGTTTCAGGTCCCTGGGCTTCCTTGGGACAGGCGCTCTCACCAAATACCAGCAATTAGTGAGTGTGGACCCTGGAATGGGATGAAGCTTACACTGAAGCAGGCATTTCCACATCCCATACGATCCAGTGCTTACGTTTTTCATCACTGTACCTCCTTACCATAAACCTGACTATGTTGCTTGTAAGATTAATAAATCCCTTAAGAGTTGATGTGGGGACTTAAGTTTCTTAAGGGCAGAAGTTTTTAAAAAAGTGTTTAATACTTTAGGGCTTATTTATTTGAACCAGTGGTTTAAAAAATATACAACTGACACATGGTGATATATGATATATAGTAAAGAATATAAGGAATATAAAATGAAAAGCCAAATTCTCTCCTTTTCCACTATCGACATCCATGACCTGAAAGCAATCATTATTAATGGAGTTTTGTGTATTCTTTCTGAAGTAAGTGTGTGTGCGTGTGTGGTTGAGCATGTGGGCTCAAACCAATTGCAAGAGTCACAATTCCAGCTAGGAGTGTGGCCCACAAGCTGTGTCATCTTGGACCTGCTACCCAATCTTCTCCCATCTCTTTTCTCTCTTCTCCTTAATGGGAATAGTAATGGGAGTTACACAATTAGGGTGTTGTGAATCAATATCCCTGAAGCTTAAGTGAGACCTACCATGTGGCGAGTGCTTGGTAAATATTAATTACTATTCCCGTTGATCCACTTCATCCTTTTTAGTGGTTGCAGAGTATCCATTGGGTAAGTTACCATAATTAGTCAGTAGTCTTCTATGATGGACAGTTAATTTCTGATATTTTGCTATTTAAATGATTCTGCCATAAATACCATTCTAGATAATTCTTAATATTGACACCTATCATACATAGGATGACACATAAATATTGTTCATACACACTGATATATCTGTAGACTAAAAGCCTACAGATTTGGATTTCCTGAGTCAAAGGATGTACACAATTTTAAGAGAAAATTCTAAAATCATAAACATTTTAAATGATTAAACGATCTCAAAATTACAGAAAGTTTCAAGTTTGACACAAAGAACCTCCTGTTCCCTAGCCATTTGTGCTGAAGTTGCTGACATGAGTGTTTAGTGTATTTTATACAAACAAGGACAACCGTCTATTAAACTGCAATCCAACCATCAACATCTGTAAATGATACATTGCTATCATCTAATCATCAGAATCCTTTCAAATGTTGCCAGTTGTCTTTGTAATTTTTTGTTGCCAAAGGATCCAGTTCAGAATCACATGTTGTGTTCTATTGTCATTTCTAAGTCTCCTTCAAATCGGATCAGCTCCTCTGTCTTTGACTTTCACAGCTATGCTACATTTAAATATTAGGCCACTTAATTTTTAGACTGTCCCTAGATTTGGGCTGGTCTGCTGTTTCCTGTGATTATACTCAGGTTTTGCGTCGTTGGGAGAATCTTGCACAATTGAGGCTGGGTCCTCTCCTAAGACCCGTCAGCTGGTGCATGGTTGCAGTATGTGTCCTTACTGCTGGCTGGGATCCCTGGCCTAAGGTGCTGTCTTCCAGCCATCTCCATTGGTAAGTTACTCCCATCCCCTCTATAATTAATATGTATTTTTGGAGGAGAGGCATACATATTTAAAATTTCATAAGGCTGGGTGTGGTGGGTCATGCCTATAATCTCAGCACTTTGGGAGGCTGAGGCAGGTGGATTACTTGAGGTCAGAAGTTCGATACCAGCCTGGTCAACATGGTGACACCCTGTCTCTATTAAAAATACAAGACTTAGCCGGGTGTGGTGGTGCATGCCAGTAGTCCCAGCTACTTGGGAGGCTGAGGCAGGAGAATCACTTGAGCCCAGGAGGCAGAGGTTACAATAAACTGAGATAGCGCCACTGCACTCCAGCCTGGGTGACAGAGCAAGACTCCATCTCAAAAAAAATTAAATAAATAAAAAATAAAATTTCATAAACAATGTCAAACGGTAGCAGAGAATAGATTTTATGCCTTTGTATTCCTGCCTCCCCAGCTTCTCAGGGCTCCCTGATGTGCCCGTTGGTGGTACCCTCTACCTTCCTATCATTTTCCTCTGCCCTGAGACCTACCCTTCCTTGTTCACTATCTAAAGGGGGAAACTGAGGAGACTGATGCCCAGAGAGTGGGATGGAGTTTACCCAAGATCACACAGTGAGTCAGAGGCAGCCATCTCTTCAGCCCTGAGCCTCACAAGCCACACTGCTCAAGTCTGGGTTGGTGGGTGGACACCAGAGGGCAGAAGAGGGCCCCTCCCTCTACTTCCTTGTCTTAATGGTGGACATCTGGAGACACAGCCTTTGCTGGGATTTCGTGGCTGGCATGAGAGGGAGGAAAGGATGGTTCACTTGGCCATGCCAGCAGGAAGTTCACCATGGAAGATGGGCTTCAGAGAAGCACCCTTTAATTTCACTGTCTGGATGTCCCCCAGTTCCAAGTGTAGCTGGGCAGGCAAGTCCCATTGAGGGGTGGCCTTGGGCTTAGCCTCCTCTCTGCATGTGGATAGGGGACCCTAAGGGAGAGATGGTTTCTGGCCCCCCAGGGAGCCTCAGAGTCTGGACGTGCGTTTCCTTTGCCATTGCAGAGTCTAGGATTAGTGCTGAAAAGGCCACAGTTCCCATCCACTTCCCTCCTGGGTGCTCCAGGTCTCTGGCAGGCAGTAGTTAAAACCCGTCACCTTCAGTCTCTCTGTCTCAACCCTCTGGGCCAGTATGGCATTGGGCTAACAAGGGTGTCTAGATTTTTGAGATAACCATTCAGGAAACAGAACACATGCAAAATATTGCCCCAAATCTTAGCCATGTCCACTAAACGACTTGCAAATTACAGGAAAATATGTTTTCATCAGACATTGAATGCCTTTTTTAAAAATTCCAATAAATCTGGAAAATTGAGGAGAAAAACCCGTTTTTGGAAGCATTCTGGCTTTGCAGTTGTTCAGCTGGGTGGGGGATCACGGGTTATGCAAGAGTGTCACCTGACTCTGCTCCTGCCAGTTCGTCAGCACACAGGCTCATGTGACTGCCCTCCAAGCAGCTGAGCACAGGCGCGGCCCCCGGGCTCACATTGGTCTACTCACACAGCCCTACCCTGTCTGCCTCCGTTTGCTCTCTGGGCTCCAGCTTCTGAATGACCCCGTCGCCCAACCTCCCATCACCCGTCCAAGTCCTACCCCCCGTTGAAATCACCACTCAACGGTCCTTCCCTCAGAAATCACACCCTGACCATGCAGCCCTGCCCACTGTTGGCTTCCCTGTGGTTCCTGAATGTTCTTGCAGACAAGGCTCATAGTTTATCTCCCGTGCCCTGTGATTATCTGGTTAGTGTCTGTTCCTCCCCTGCTCTGAGCTCTGGGAGGACAGGGACTGAGAGGCTCACTTTGATTTTCTGCTGCCTTCCACGGTGCTTGGTGCATACTAGGCTCTCAACAATTATGTGTTGAATAAATATTGTTCAATAACCATCATATCATATTTTGATGTTGCCTTTCATCTTACTTTGACTGAAGGGCATTTTCCAAACAGAGCTAGCTCTGCCCCTCACCATTCAGGCGGCCTGAGCTAACAGCACTTCCCTGGAAGAGCAGGGCTTCTTGGGAAATGGCTTGATGGAACAATGGAATGCAGGGCTGGGAGAGGGGTTGAATTGTCTTCACAGGGGTCTCTGCTCGCTTGGGGGCCATCATTCTTCTCTTGCTTTTACCATTCATTGGCCCTTACTACACTTTGAGACGGTGGCTCCCAACTCAGCTCAGCCTCTTTCTCTTTCTTGTGTTGGTCTGAGATTACCTTTTTGTTTTCCCCCTTAGGAGGCCTGTGCTACAGAGTAAGAAATAGTCCTCTTCTGCTCAAAGCTTAGCAGAATTCCATTTAGGATGCTCCTACCCCACATGTGTGAGTGCTCAGAAGTGTGG